TTTACATGTGTTATCTCATTTAATTATGCTGTGACAAGTTAATTCCAAAGGGACTCGGGTAAATAAGAGGCATGAAATGCCCACATTTAAAGATGAGAGCCAAAAAGAGGAAGTACTAAAGAGAGCCTTATATATACATGCTTTTATATATTTACAACCTCTATTTAAATTTCATTTCCATTACAATCTAACCACCAAGACTAATTTTCCTATCATGGTAATATCATTGTTGCCCGTCTCCTTGATGAGTATTGTCTGGCATTCCGCTTGGTGTCCTCCAAGTTTGTCCATGTTATGAAGTGTGGCACAGATTCATGGGTAATTCGAGAATGCCAAATTGCATTCCATTGTGCTTATGTACCAAAGTTTATTTATCCATTATGCACACACCAGCATTTAGTTATGAATATGACTATGAATATGAACAGAACAAAGGACCTCTGAAGCCTGCGCACCCCCACCCCCAAACACTACCTTTCTTGAGGTTGCTTTTCATTTTGTTTTTTTAAGAATTTTAGGCAGAAAGTGGTCGTTAATCCTGTCATTGAATAACCTTGAATTCACGTCACCATCTTTAAAACAGGACTAATCCAGAAAGTGGGCTGAGCTCTTCCTGTACTTGTTGTTGTCAAGAGGCATTTAGATCCTTATTTTATGCAACCTTAACTGTCTCATTTGATGGTTGGTTTCTGTAGTCCTGGTGATGCAATGGGTGAAGTGTTAGACTACTGACCAAATCCATCAGCCACTCTGCAAGAGAAAGATAAGAAAGAAAGATAATCTTCCATAAAGATTAGCCGCCGTGAAAACCTTTGGCAGGGTCATTCTATTCTGACTGACAGGCAGTGGATTTGGGTTTGGGGAATGGTACTTCGCACAGTGGTAGTGCAGTAGTTGAACTGACTTCCATATGAGAGAAACAGGTTCAATTATTTCTGAAATGAGCCAATGAAAAGCTTACGATCCACAGCGGGTTATGGGGCGTGCACAGGACCAGGCAGTGTTTCATTCTGTTGTGTGTGCACTTGGTCGTCATGAGCCCGCATCTAACTCGATGTCAACTAACAACACGGGTGCTTTCTTTATTACATCATCATGCATGCCATTTCTCGTATTCCTTAGTAGATAGAGATAAGTATGAAATTCGAGGGAAAAATCTATGAGCTTTCATTTAAAAAAATTAAGAAATATGATAGGGAACCCGAAGACATTCTCAGAGCTAAAGCAGAATGCATCCATTGTATGTCACTGGTTAGGAGAGATTTTAAGAGCAAAAAGTCAGATAATTGACTATTTTCAAAGAGTTAAGAGTTTAGGAGGAGAAACAAGAAAGGTGCACAAATACAATGAAGTGTGGAGTGCTAGTCTCTTCAGAAAATCTTTAAAAATATTCTTTAGGCGAAATACTTAAAGGTGGATAAGTTTGGAGGCAAAGAAATGATGGATAGACATTCCCAGGAAAGATAAAAGAGCTGGCAATATTTTCATGAAAATGGATTAACTACGACACACACACACACACACACACACACACA